ACCTGGCTGCCCACCTGCGCACGATAGATGAGACCTGGCGAGCGTCCTGCACTGACGCACAGCTTACAGCCCACCAGCCGCCCATTACCTCTACCCTCTACCTGCTTGCCACCCGCCTCCCTGACCCTCTTGCCGCCGCCCGCGACCGCTTCCTTAGAATCCACCCTAGTGAGCTGACCCTCCCCGACTTTGTAGACACCCTGATTGTTATTGAGACCCGCCACCGCTCTATTGCCCAGGCGAGCGGTACTGTACCGGTCCCTATCTTTCAGGGTTGTGCCCCCGCTCAGTGTACCTTCTCCGACGGTTCTGTGGCTGTGGCTGAGACTGCTGCTGCCGCGCAGTTCCGTCCGGGGAAGGGCCGCCGCCCCAAGGCTGGGCGCGGCGGAGGAGGCAGGGGTGCAGGAGGGGGTGGTGGTGGAGTCGGGTCGTCTAGTGCTGGAGCGGACGAGGGGACACTGCCGGGTCTAGCTAAGCAGCCGCCTCCATAGTCGCAGCAGTAGCCGCAGCAGTCGCAGCAGCCATAGCAGCCGCAGCAGCCGTAGCAGCCGCCGCAGACGAGGCAGGCAAGTGTCCTCCCACCCGGGTGGCCTGGCGCTGGAGGTGGTCGTGCGCGTGGTGGTGTGCCGGGTGGTGGTTCGGGAGGCGTGCGTTGCCAGTACCAGATCCAGACCGGTCCTCGCCGCGGCTTCGTTTGCGGTAAGATCGGTCATACCACTCCTCCCTGTTTTCGTTGCCTGGACGACCTGTTTCGTCAGCGCTTCGGCCCATCGCCAGACCTCCCGGACTGGCACAGTTTGCTTCGTCGTAGTATTCCGATTTTTGACATGGACATGGATGCCATTGTTTCTGCTCTGCATGTGATGTATGCTGATGACTCTAGTGTGCTTCCTGCTTATTACTCATTGTCGTCTAGTGTAGGTGTGCCTAGCTTAGCCTCCCCTGCTGCGTCAGGCGTAGGAGCCCCTGCTTTGTTTAGCCTTGGTGCTTCCGCCGTCGCCCCGTCCCCGGACGCCACAGCTTCACTTTCTTTCACCTTGGACTCTGGCGCTTCCCGCTGCTTCTTCCGCGACTTCACTACACTGACGCCGTTTCCTGCTGCAGTCTCCCTTGCTGACCCCTCCGGCGGTCCGGTAGTCGCCCGTAGTTCCACCACCCTTCCCTGTCCGGCAGTTCCCTCGGGCTCTCTCACAGGTCTGCATATCCCCTCGTTCTCCCTGTCTTGCGCCTTCACTCAGACCATGGTGGCGAGTTTGCCTCAGGTGTCCTTGGTCGCTTCTGTCGTGCGGAGGGCATTACCCAGACGTTCACCCTGCCGGACTCCCCACAGCAAAATGGGGTCGCTGAGCACCGCATCGACTTGGTCATGGAGGTTGCTCGCACCTCCATGATCCATGCCGGTGCACCCCATTTTCTGTGGCCGTTCGCTGTGCGCTACGCTTCTCACCAGCTTAACCTGTGGCCGCACCCCCAGCAGCCGCAGGTTTCGCCGACCCGTCTTTGGACCGGGTCCCCTGGTGACGCGTCTGCGTTCCATGCTGGGGCTGCCTTGCTCACGTCCGTGCCTCCGGCACGGACAAGCTCACTGCCCGCACCCTTCCCTGCGTCTTCCTAGGTTTTCCCCTTGACGCGTCCGACTGGCACTTCTACCACCCGCCGTCTCACCGCTTCTTTCACTCTCGCGACGTTACCTTTGACGAGTCCGTCTCCTTCTACCGTCGCTTCTCCCACTGCAGTCCCCCGGTTACCCCCCCCTTGTTCCTGGTCACTCCTTCCCTGGTGGTCCCTGTCCCCCCCCCTCCCCCTCCCCGTCCTGCCCCCTTTGGTGTGTCCCACGTCACTACTCTCCCGTCGGTCGTCCCGGTTGAGGGGTCTTCTGACTCTGGTGGTCCTGCGGTGCAGTCCTCGCCGTCTGCCCCTCCCCAGGCGTCTCCTCCTCCACCGCCATTGCAGCCGCCGTCGCCTCTGCTGTCACCGCCGTCGTCGCCGCAGCTGCCGCCGCCGTCGCAGCAGCCGTTCGTTGCCTCTTGGGGTGCTGGCGTTGGAGTGGGTCCTAGCCCTGGTGGCCCTGGGGGTGGTGCCGGTGCCCGAGGGGTTACGGGCCCTGGGAGTGTTCCTTCTGGGGGTGCTGGAGTGGAGTCTGCTGGTGGTACCCGAGGAGCAGCTTGCGGTCCCGGTGTCGGCGTTGTGCCGCCGCAGCAGCAGTCCCCGCCGGTGTCTGCCCTTCGCCTACTCGGCCTTCCGTCCCCTGACCCTGCGTCCGTTCCTCTCCTCCCGTCTCCTCCTCTTCCCGTTTACGGCCCTGTGTTCCCTCCGCGTCCCCGGCTCGTCTTCCCCCTCGCTCTCCCCTTATGTCCCCTCCTCTGTCTCCTGACCCGACTCCTCCATCTCACGTCTGGTCTCGCCGTCCCTCCCGTGCTCGTCCTGTCCCCCCTGTCACACGCTCTCACCCTATGTTGCTTCGTTCCCACGCGTCTCGTCCTCCCCTTCTCCCGTCCCCTCCTCCATCCTCCCTTGTCGTTGCTCCCCCCCCTCGGTCTGACTACCTTCGTGCCACCCGTCCTCTCGTTCCTCGGGTCCTTGCCTCTCTCGTTACCGACCCGTCCGTTCCGGTCTCGTGTCTTGACGCTCTTGTCGCTGCGGTCGCTGACTTTGCCTCTACCCGCCGCCTTGACTACGCTACCGCTCTGGTCTCTGACCCTGCCAGTCCTCCGTCTGTCGGGTGTGCACCTGCCCTGGGCAGTGACGTCCTCGAGGACCGCCAGTTCGAGCTTGCTTTCCTGTCCGAGGCTGCTCCCCATCTTTGTTCCATGCTGCTAGTCCCTGAGGGTGACCTAGACGCTTTCGACATCCCGACCCCTCGCACTTACGCTGAGGCGACCTCGGGACCCTGGGCCTCCCAGTGGATAGCTGCCATGGAGCAGGAGATGGCATCTTGGAGATCCACCGGCACCTTCGTCGACGCAGTTCCCCCACCTGGGGTGAACGTAGTCGATGGCCGCTGGCTCTTCAAGGTGAAGCGCCCTCCTGGAGAGCCGCCTGTGTTCAAGGCGCGCTACGTGGCTAGAGGTTTCAGTCAGCGTGAGGGGGTGGACTTCTTCCAGACCTTCGCTCCGACCCCGAAGATGACTACTCTTCGGGTTCTGCTACACCTAGCTGCTCAGCGTGACTACGAGCTTCACTCCCTCGACTTCTCCACTGCCTTCCTTCAGGGCAGCCTACACGAGCTGGTCTACCTGCGTCGCCCTCAGGGCTTTACTGGCACCTTCCCTCCTGGGACCCAGTGGCTCCTGCGGCGTCCCGTCTACGGCCTGCGGCAGGCTCCCCGTGAGTGGCATGACACGCTGCGTGCTACTCTTGCTGACCTTCAGTTCTTTCCGTCCTCGGCAGACCCCTCACTCTTCGTTCGTGCTGGCCAGACTCCATTCTACATCCTTGTGTACGTGGACGGTCTGCTCTTTGTCACAGCAGACAGGGATGCACTGGCCTCCATGAAGGCAGAGCTGCTGAAGAGACACACTTGCACTGACCTTGGAGAACTGCGTCGTTACCTTGGCTTGCAGATCTCCAGGGACAGAGCAGCGCGCACCATTACCTTGACTCAGTCACACTTGGTGCGCCAGGTCCTTCAGAGGTTCGGCCTTCAGTTCTCCTCTGCACAGCCCACCCCTCTGCCTCTAGCCCACAGACTCTCAGCCCCAGTTCCTGAGGAGTCAGTAGAGCCCAGTGGTCCTTACGCAGAGCTGGTGGGTTGCCTCATGTACCTGATGACTTGCACTCGCCCTAATCTCGCATACCCTCTCAGCATCCTGGCTCGCTTTGTGGCCACAGGCAGACACCGACCGCAGCACTGGTCTGCCGCTAAGAGGGTTTTGCGTTATCTTGCGAGTACATCGGGCATGGGGTTAGTGCTAGGAGGACGCAGGCCAGTGGTCCTTACTGGACACATAGACGCTTCGTGGGCGGACGACGCTGAGACACTCAGGTCTTCCCAGGGCTACTGCTTCAGCCTTGGTTCAGGTGCCGTCTCGTGGAGAGCTACCCGCTCCTCGTCTGTTGCCCAGTCCAGCTGTGAGGCCGAGATTTACGCTGGTGCCATGGCGGCACAGGAGCTCTACTGGCTGACTTTCTTGCTCACTGACTTGGGTGAGCGGCCTAGCTCTGCCCCAGTCCTGTACGCTGACAACAGGGCCATTATCCTCCTGTGTCAGGAGCCTCGACTCGAGGGCAGAGCGAAGCATATTCAGCTGCGGTACTTCCTCCTGCGCGAGCTACAACAGCGCAGCCAGGCTCGTGTAGTACACCTGGCCTCCGGTGCCAACACAGCTGATATGTTTACGAAGGCGCTTGCGCCTAAAGATCATCATCGGCACTGTGTACAGCTCGGGCTAGTTCCTGTGGCCTCTCACTTGCTAGGACCCTGACCTTGTACTATCCTATATATCTATATGTACTCAGACTGGACTTGTGTCCTCTACCAGTGGCTGGACTAGTAGTGCCGCCCTGGTCTTGTTCTTGCCTTGCCTGTACTCCTCCTGACTGGCCTTTAGGCCCTTGTCTCAGTGGCTGGACTAGTAGTGCCGCCCTGAGCTGCTTGTTCAGGACCTGCCCCTATGCAGTCCAAGGGGTGTGTCAAACGTGTGTATTTCTTATGTTTGTATAGACTGTCTAGGGTCATCTCTTAGAGGGTACAACACGTAGATATATATTCACCTGTACTCTCTCTCTCTAATCATTCATTCAGTTTTGAGATGCTCTACCCTGCTGAATCAGACTTGCAAAAGATTGTACTCTGACTGGCAGGGTAAATTTTTTTTGGCACTCTGATTCCTAAGAGTGGCCTAAAACCAATTTTGAGCCCTGGTAGGAACACGCTCTAAGGGTGGTACACAATCAACTCGGAAAATCAGAGAATCTGAGTAATTTACTCGTAAAAAATGCAGGCACTGCGCCGAACCGACTGTGGGGGTTCAGATGGCTCTGCGAGGCAGCTTTTGTAGACTCCGCCAGTTTTGTGTACTCGTAGAGTTTCCGCATTGTTCGTATCGGTCCGTCACATGAACGACCAACAGAGAAATTTGCCCAACCCTAGGGAGGGAGGACGCTTCAATTGGGCACACTGAACACAATTTGGGTTCCGTAGTACGATACAAAATTGGGAAGGACTAGAACAGAATCTTATCATTCATCAATCAACAGCTAGGAACCGGCGATAGGACTCGGTAAGACGTGGTGTCCAGTCATAGTTGTCGCTCACCCATCTGCATCACACATGGAGAGCCCAATAGTTGGAACAAAGGCTGACAAGGTCCTGTCGAACCTCTTCTCTCTCTAGGGAGGGTACTAGGGAGGCTTTCCCTGGGGAAGGTGGATATATGGAGCCTAACTCTCCTGAGGACATCCCTTCTTGTCCCAGTGATTAGGACTGGTGACTTCATGACTATAATAAACAAGCCTAGGTTAGAAACGGAAACTGGGCCTTCAGGCTGGTAACAAAGGATTCCTGAACCATGACTCTGCAAGGCAACCTAGCAACCACTCGCAACTCAACCCCTGACACAACACAACCCCCTGCCTTCCCCACCTCTTAGGCTGAGCACGTAATCAGTCCCTCCAGCTCGCATCCCCTAAGTCCATCACCACGATACACACCCACCCACCCACCCACCCACTCATCCCTTTCCCCACAAGCCTCTGTCCCCATTCCATCCCTCACCCCACCCCCAACCCTCCTCACTCACAAACACACCCCCTTTCACTTCCCACAACCCAATCCTGCCTTCCCCCCACCCCAAACTCCCCTCAACACCCCCTCTCCCCCCCCCTCTCCCTGTGCGTCACTCCGAGTTCTTCAGCTGTGATTGCAGGGCGGAGCCTCACTGCTTTAAATTCAACTCAAAGGCACCCCCCAACCCTCCCCTCTTTCCTTCCCCCCCCCCCCCCCCCCCCCCCCCTGTGTCTCACTCCAGGTTCTTGAGCTGTGGCTGCAGCGCGGAGCCTCGGGAGAACTGCTCCTCCGCCTCGGCCGTCTCGCCCTTCTGCCACGACACCGCTGCCAGCGCTGCATGTGCCTCAGCGTAGTTGGGGTACTTGCGCACGAGCGCCTTCAGGATCTGCTCCGCCTGGTTTGTGGACCCCACCTGCAGGTAGGAGCGACGGTGCAAGGAAGACGCAAGGATGGATGCAGTGAGGGGGGGGGGGTTGCAACGCGTAGGCGTCGAAAGGGCGCCTCAACATAGTTGGCATATGTGCGCACGAGCCCCTTGAGGATCTGCTCCGCCTGGTTCGTGGACCCCAGCTGAGGGTGGGTGGGATGGTGAGGGGAAGACCAAAGGATCGATGCGGTGAGAGGGGGTTCCATGAACAAGAGTGGAGCGCATTTTTTAGAAAAGGACAAGAGCGAAGGCGGCAAAGATGCAGAGGAACCTTGCGGAGGGAGGGCGAGGCGAGTGGAGTGGACGTGGCACTGGAGAAAAACTCATGTTCTCTAGGCACAGGAACGACAACAACAACAACACTCATGTTCAGCCACATGCACGACAACACATCCGAGTGCCTGGAGAGCCACAACGATATTGCAAGCACGGCACACCACTGCACAGCACTGCACCTGCACGAGCACCACTGCCGTGGCCATGCGGTAACCAGCTATGCCCGGTGCGAGCAGCGCGGCTTTCTTCAGAGCGTCCAGGGACGCGGCGTAGTGGGTGAGGCGGCTCTCCACCATGCCCAGGTTGAACCACGCCGCTGGCTCCTGCGGAGGAAGATGGGGGGACGCATACAAGAGGAGAGTGGAGGGGGGAGGGCAGAGAGGGAGAATGGAGGGGAGAGAACGGATGAGGGAGAACGGAGGAGGGAGAACGGATGAGGGAGAACGGATGAGGGAGAATGGATGAGGGAGAACGGACAGAAAGCACATAGTAGTGGGTGAGGCGGCTCTCTACCATGCATAGGGTGAACCACGCCACTGGCTCTTGGGGGGGCGAGGGAGAGGAGGGAAAGGAGGAAAGGGTGAGAGTGAGAGGGTGGAGCATGTGGAAGGGGGAAAGGTGGAGGTGGAGAGAGGGATGGACGGATTAGGGCACCAAGAGTGGAGTAGTCAGCATGCAACGTACCTTGTTTCTCCCTTTCACCCACACACAACCCGTTCTCTCGTCTTCCTACACCCCTGTTCGCCCCTCCTCGCACGTTGCCTCTTCTCTACCCTTCTTCCCACATCCCCTGTCCGTCCTCATCCCCTCCTCCCACCCATCCCCACCCACCACCAACCCCTTCTCCTCCCACCCCCCCCACCTCACCCATGGGACCACCTTTACAGCCACCTGACAGAAAACTCAATCCCCTGTCCCCTCATCCACCTGTCCAAATCCCATGTTTCTCCCACCTCCCTCCCCCCAACCTCCCCCCCCCAACCTCTCCCCCCCCCCTCCCCCCTCTCTCCCCCCTTCCCCCCCTCCCCCCCTGCCTCACCTGCGGGTCCACATTCACAGCCGCTTGGCAGTCCTTGAGCGCCTCCCGGTACCGCCCCAATGCCTTGAGGGGTGTGGGAAAGGGGTGTGGCGGGGGGGAATACGGGGCCATGGGGGCACTGAGGAATGGGGCGTGGCGGAATGGGGCGTGGCGGAATGGGGCATGGCGGAATGGGGAGAGGAGGAATGGGGACATGCGGCATGGAGAGCGGAATAGAGGTGCTAAGGAGCGTGGATGGGGGAAAGGCAGCCTGGTAGAGGAAGGAGGGGCCGCGGCGGTTCTGGCAAGTGCAACAGCAAAAGGCACGCACGGAAGAGTCATCATGAGTCATGACACACACACACATTCAGCAAGGCCCGTGCCTCCTCTTTCCGCCTCCTCGTTTCGCCTCCATCCACGCCTTTTCCCTCCCTCCCCTCTCCCCCCACCCCTTCCCCCTTCACCACACGACCCGCCGCACACCCTCCCCCAGCTCCCCCTTCCTTACCCCCAGCGCGATCCCTCGGTTCAAGAGCGGCACGGGCGCGGTCGGCGCCAGCTCAATCGCGCGCGCAAAGTCCTCTGCCGCTTCCTCGTACCGCCCCAGGGACATTCTAACGGACCCCCTATTGGACCACATGGATGCGCTTTCCGGGAGCCGTGCGATCAGCCGGCTGAACATCTCCTCCGCCGTCTCTAAGTCGCCCGCGACCGCCGCTCGCAGCGCCGCCTGAAGCTCGCTGTCGTCCACGTCGCGCAGTCGCACGATGCGCTGCTGCGACGTCGCCTGCGACGACGACGAGGCGGAATCCTCCGCAGCGATCGCGGAGGGGGGGAGGAACCAGTCCGGGACGGCACGGGAGCTGTCGGAAGTCCCCCAAGTCCCCCATTCTGCTCCTCTCGGCGCTCCCACGACGGTAGTGGCGGAAAGGCAGGCGAGAATCGCGAGAGACGCGCGGCGAGAGACGGTCGGTTCTGCTGAGGCGGATGCGGGTTGCGCGGACGGCTCCGTCGCAGCTCGCTGGGGCAGCGCTAGCGGTCGCGGAGCAGGTTTCGCGCGGGAGGTTGCGGAGGATTCGTAGGTGGCGGAGGATCCATCAGCGGCCCGCGCGCAGGAAGCGCGGAGAGCCAGGTGCGCAGAAGAGGGAGCAATCGCAGCCATGGCTGGTGGAGTGGATGGTTGTGAATATGGAAATCTGCAGAGGGGTGGACCGTGGAACACGTAAGTGTGCGTGGTTGGCTCAATCAGCGCAAATAGTTGCCGTGTAACCATCTCGGAGAGCTTCCAGCAAAACTTGCGAAATGAACGCAATTCGCAACGTCGTTGTTCCGTTCTTCAGTACGCGGTGGGCGTTTGCTTTCTGTCGCAGGCGAAGTCAGTTACATGTCGTCAAATGAAGGCGTGTCCCAAGTGTACGCTTGATTGCGGTTGGATAAGATTCCGGCTGTGTTCTACAGGCATTTGACGGCGACGTCGACGTCGACATTGAGGAAGCTCCTCAAGCGACTTCGAGAGCGCTGGTCACCACTCAAAACAGGTGCACTTTCCAAACCTCGCTTGGAAGCAACGCGCCAAACTGTGGAAAGCGCGAGCGAAAGGAGAGAGGAGCCAAATTGAGGCTGATGTAACGCCACACGCAAGGTGAACTCCTCGATTTAGCGAACGTCAGCATTGCGTCACCTTTGCGTCAAATTTGCCAGGGAGGGAAGCGAGGGGGGTGTTTCCCTGACGTAGATGTCATTTGTACATGGACCTGTTCTGCAGGCATTTTGATGTAATTAGGTTCGGGTATCTTGTGCCAGGTTTGGACGAAATTTTGCGGGCTGACCCTCGATCCGAAGCAAAAAATCAGGCTTTCGGAAGGTGCTCTGATGCAATCTGCACTTTCCTTTTCTGCCTGCAGAACGCAGCCTCTATGCGAGTCAAAAAACATTTAAAGCGATCTGAAACGTTAACTAGGGTTTTGAGCGAGAAGCGCAAATCCGTACCCAAACCTTCATTTCGCCAGCGAAACCTTGCTTCCCAGCCTCGACGCGCGTCTTTTGCACGGGACTGGAACCCTAACGTCGAATTGTCCCGTTCGCCGGCATAGAATATGCCCTTCCGTTGCAAGCCGATTGTTCAACATGCACTCGACAGAAACTGGCTTCAGCGAAGCCTTATAAGTGAAATGCTCAAGTAAGCGTCTGCAGCCCCCCATACCCCCTTCCCAAACCATCCCTTCCCAACCCACCCCCCCACTCCCACTGTCCCACCTCCTCCCCGCCCGTCCGCCTCCCTTAGCGCACACATCACTGATGTGTCAAGTTTGTTTGGCCACCTGTCAACCAGCCTCTAGGGTTCCCTCTCGCAGTTATGTCCTGACGCAAGCAAGGCTGACAACCAAAAGAGACGGCGAAGACACCGATGCGTACTCGCGTCGGGAGATAGCTAGCGTGTCGGCAGAGGCTCGTGCGCTGGAGACAGTTGGTTTTTGCGGTTTTTAGGGTATAGACAGAACCGTGCGTACATTGAAAAAGACGCAATTGAGGCGGTCGGAGAAGGCGATGAAAGGGAACTGGGGCGAGGCGGGTTGCGAGGACGAGGAGTGGCGCTGCGGGCACGAGGAGGACGAGGGGGAGGAGGATCAGGGGAGGGGTCGAGAGCAGGCGCACGTGGGGGGGGAAAGGGGGGACAGGTGCGGCGATGAGGGGGGCGGAGGCGACTGGGTGCGCGGGGAGGAGGTTCGCGGGGAAGGATGGCGGAAAGCAGGAGCATCGGCAGCAGCCGAAGCAGCAGGAGCAGAAGCAGCAGGAGCAGAAGCAGCAGGAGCAGACGCAGCAGGAGCAGGATCAAGAGCCGCAGGAGCAGGAGCAGTAGGGTCGGAAAGAGGGGATTCGAAACGTGGCGAGGAAGAGAGATATAGTAGGGTTGAGGGCGGCTCAGCAAGGGTGGCGAATGAAGAGAGGGAGGAGGAAAGAACGGGAAACGGCTCCAGCTCACTCTCCTGCGATTCCATCGATTCCCTGCCGTCCTCCGTGTGGCTCCACATCTTCCATAGGGCCAGCCTGCCCGCCCCTCGCTCCCCTCACTCCCCCAACTCCCCTCACCGCCACCCTCTCCCACCGCACCCCCCTCACTCCCCTCACTCTCCTCACCGCCGCTCGTGTGACGAGAGCCAGAGCACGCGCGGTGCAGCTGTAGTGGCTCCTGCAGGGGCCGGTGCAGGTGCAGTGAAGGGCACGGTGTGGGGGGGTGGGAGCGCTGCAGGGATCGTGGATAGCAGGGATGCTCATGGTGCTGCTGCCGGTGGCGGTGCTGGTAGTGCCGGTGGTGGTCGTAGTGATGTTGATGGTGCTGGTGAAGCTCCTGCGCTTGCTGATGCCCCCCATGGTGCTGGTGCCGCCCGTGGTGCTGATGTCGATGGGGATGATGGGTGTAACTGTGGTTGTGGGCGCAGGGCGAGTGACCATACCGAGGGAGAGTGCAGTTGTGGAGGGGGAGGGCGGCGGAGGAGACGGGAACTGGAGAGACAGGAGGTTGGTGGTGGCGGTGGAGGGGAGGGGAGGGGGACCGGGATCGGGAGCAGGGGAGAGCGAGAGTTGTGGGAGCACGAGAGGAGCAGGGGAGCACTTGGAGGGGTGGGAGGGGCGCATGGGGGGTGTGATTGGCCCATGGTGGTCTGTGCCATGGCTAGCAAACGGCTGCTGCAACACTCAGTGCAGACGCCATCACTCCGCCTCCTTGTCCCACCCAACCGTCTCCCCTCGCTCCTCTGGTTCCTCTCCCATGCCTCCTCCCTCACCTCCCTCTCCCTGCACTTCCCCTCCCCCCCACTCTCGCTCCCCCACCACCTGCGCCATGCCTTGATCCCCTCTCTCGCTACCCTCTGCTCCGTCCACCTCTCTTGCTCATCTTGTCCCTCTCCTCTTCCCCGTACCTGCTCCCCCCGTGCCCCTACCCTCTCTTCCTCTCCTCCGCCGACTGCTCTCAGCCCCACACACTCCCAGTCTCCTGCAGTTTTAAGTGATGCCAGGGGGAGGGGTGGGGGAGGGGGGGAGTTAGGAGGGGTGGAGAGGAGAAGGTGGGTCCGGGGAAGGGGAGGTCGGCTAGAGATGGGCGGAGTGGCGGGTAGAGGAATGGAGGAAGGGGAGGAGGAGCAGGAGCAGGAGGAGAAAGAGGAGGGGAAGGAGCAGGAAGAGGAGGCGGAGGGGGAAAGGAGTTGGGGTGTGATGGCATGGCTGGGAGCATACCCTTCTCTGCGCCATGTGTCCCTGGAAGGCAGTGCATGGGCATGGCATGTGCCCGCCTTGGCCATGCCACCTTCATATCGACCCCGCACGTCTGATACTGATACCGCACTCCCTGGCTCCATCGCACCATCTCGGCCACACCTCTCTTCCTCTCCTCCACCACCACCTCCACCTCCACCTGCTCCCTTCTTCCCCCGCCTCACGTCCCTGCACCTGTCCAACGTGCAGTACGACTGGCCCCTCTTCTCCCTCCTCCACCACCTCTCTCCTCAGCTCACCTGCCTCTCTCTCACCCGCGCCATGGAACAATGCTCCCTCCCGATCCCCCACGCTTCATCCTCCCCTCCCCAGTCCCCTTCCACCTCTTCCTCTTTCCCCTCCTGTCTCTCTTCCCCGCTCTCCTCGTTCTCTTCCTCCCTCCCCCCTGCCTTCCCACACCATCTCGCCATCACCCTGCACCTCCCTCTCGCTCGCACCATCCGCTTCCACTTCACAGCAGCCTCGCGCCTCTCCTTCCTCCTCTGTGCCTCTCCCCGCCTCTCCTCACTCTCTATCGTCGGTGGCGGCTGTCCCGTGACTGTTCTCAACACTCCCCATCTCCACTCCCTGGTTGCCGGCTGCATTGACCTCTCCGTCCCTCACCTCCTCTCCGTGCGGCATCTATACCTTCTGGTCGAACCCAACGCCCTGCTGCTGCGTCAGCCCACACGGGTACTGCCTGGCACTTTTGCTGAGATTGCGACCCCTGGGTCTGTACATGGCCCTGCTGACAACCTTTCTGGCTTTTTACCTGGCTTTTCACCTGGCAGTACAGCTGGCTTAGCAGGTGTGGGAGGTGTTGAAAGGCAGTGGCTGTCTTCAGAAACCAGCAGCGACGCAGAAGCGAGCATTGAGGACATGGGCACACACTTTACAGACGGCCAGAGCAGCCATAGCAGCCTTGGCATCAGCAGCAGCAGCAGCAGCAGCATGGGCGAGCCACACTCCTCGTCCTCACTCACCCAGCATTTCGCATCCACGCTCCAGCACACTCCACTCTCCCCGTCCTCCACCTGGCTGGCCCGTGTGGCGGGCACGGTGCAGATCCTGGTGGCACGGCGGGTGATAGGGCAGCTGGAGTGCGGCACGTGGGACAGCCTCAGGAGCATGGCAGTCAAGTGCATCTCCTCCCGCCGCCACCACCACCGCTCCACGCCACCCTTCTCCCTCTCCTCGCTGCATCGGCAGCAACCGGTGAGCTTCAGTGGGGCCACCATTTCTGGCAACACCAGCAATGCTGCCAGTCCCAGCAGTGCCTTGCGCAGTACGTTTGCAGCAGCAGCGGGACAAGGCATGCCGGCGGTGACACAGGGAAGATTGGGCGATGTGCCAACGGATCTATACAACCCGCTTCATCATGCCTACAATCCCCACAGCCTTCCCCATCCAACTCCACCCTCTGCCATTCCTTGCACCCTCTTCTCTTCTCCCGATTCTGACTCCTCGGAATCCAGCCTTCTCCCTTTGCCAGTGGGTGGGGGTCTTCTGGGTTTCTTCTGCTGTTTGCTGGGTGCGCCCTGCTCCCGCGCCTCTCTCCACGCCCTGCTGCTGCACTGCCCTCTCATGCGCTCCCTGCACGTGTGGGTTCCTGCCAGTGCTGAGACGTGGCGATGGGATGTGAGGAGCGGATGGCAGGATGAGGGAGGGAGCGAGGAGGAGTGGGATGGAGGGCGAGAGGAAGGGGAGGAATCTGAAGAGAGTGACGATGAGGGAGGTGGAAGGGAGAGAGGCAGAGATGGGGAGGAAAAGGAGGGGGGGAATGGGGAGGTTTATGGGAAGCAGGAGGAGTGTGCATGGGAGGAGGTTAGAGTCGGGGAGAAGGTGCTTAATCTGCCTCTGCACATGCCCATCAACAGTATGAGCATTGCGAATCTCAGCATCACAGCAATGGGGTCAAGCAGGGGTGCCATGTCTCAAAAGCCATTATCTTCCCAGAGGCCTGTGCCTGCTTTCTGGAGATCCTTACACACTGCAGCAAGGGCACGGCAACAAGGCAGTGACAGAGGCAGGAACAGTGATACCAGCAGCAGTAGTGGCGGGGGGAACGGTGGCGATGGCAATGGTGGTGGTGGCAGGGCTATGTGGCGTGGCATGCATGAATTTCATGAGCATCTCGATCCGTCGTATCGCCTCCACCATGAAGAAATGTACTTGTAAGTTTTGGGGGACACACCTGCGTGAGGGAAGCAGCACTTGAGTAGTTTCACTTCAGCCTTCGGTCTTGGCTCCTTTCCCTTGTGTGCTGTAACTGCCTCCACAAATTTGTTGTTTTTTCTTGTCATATCTTCGCACTGTTTGGACAGATCGCCCTGGTGGAGACGGGACCCATGGTGAAAAGCACTAGAGATGAACACGTGCACATTAGAGATTATGGCAATAGAGGCATTCGATTTTTCCACACATTACAGATGCAGTGGACATGATCCGTAATGCTTTTTCTACATGTGCTTCATCTTCCATCTTGTGGGTATTGAAATGAACCACATACTTCAACAGTGGGGAGATGGAAGGTGTATTAGTTTTAAACGAAATATCAATGATAGGTGGACAGCATTTTTTACCACACTAGTTCCATTGCCAACTTGAATCTCGTGGGAAGAAATTGCCAGAACTGAAACTATTTGTTGTGAGCACTAGCACATTTTCCTGCAGAGTGAGACTGAACAAATTCCGTACTCCCGCTGTCTCTTACGTCTATGGCGTTTCACGTCCATACATCAACACCAAGGTTCCACTTCGTATACGCGGCTGCGCTTCTTGTGGTGATGAGTGCTTTGCTCGTAGCTGCTGATCAATACGTCAAGGTCTCTAATGACTCAACTGGATTTGTTTTTGACAATGAGGATTTCTACTTCAAAGGCAAGCTCGACAGATCTTTATTTCTGTTATCCTTCCCGTCATCGACATTCTGTGACTGTCCGGGATTGCCTGCAGGCATTAATTTCTGGGAATCCGTTTGGCTGGCAATGCCGGAAGAGTCAGGAGGAAACAGAACCAGGCTGCATTGCGAGCTCGATACGTTAGCCAGCATGGGATTGAATGGCATAAGGATCCTCGGCTCCAGTTTGGGACCAAACTCTGAGCCGTATCGGTGGAAACCGGCTCTTTTCCCAGAGTGAGTGTCATTGAGGTTCTGAGGTTCTCCGTCGCTCTTATTGGGAAACAATGCTTACGACCTGTTTGCCGTTTCAGGCCATCCAAGCAGGACGAATCAGTGTTCAAAGGACTCGACTACCTTCTTCATTCCTTGAAGAAGCGGAATATGAAAGCTATTGTCTCTCTCAGTGACTTTTGGCACGACTCTGGAGGATTCGGTCAGTACGTTTTCTGGGCGGATCCATCGCAGGTTGGTCAACTTCCCCCATGCCACTGTTTCCTATCCCCCGACCAACGCCTCCCTCGTCTCCTCCAGCCGTCCTCAGTTTCCCTTCAATCACCGAGGGTGACTCACTTCCCTCCGGATACATAATCCAGGAAATCCCGTATCCTCCGTCTTTTCCTGACTTCACTGGAAGCTGGCCAGCATTTATCAAATATGCTTCTCGACTGTACTGTGACAAAAGCATCATGAAGACAGCTCAAGCGATGCTAGAAAAGCACATCAAGACCATCATTCAGAGGGTGAATCACATCAACGGTATTGTTTATGGCGAAGATAACACGATTTTCTCATGGGAGATCACGAACGAGCCTCAAGACCCACCTCGCTGGTGGATTGACAGGATGGGTTACTTTTCTTTCCGTTTTTGAAGGCTCGATCGTATCCTCACCTTTTTTTCTGTAACAGGACACTACATCAAGTCCCTGGATCAAAATCATCTGCTCACTAGCGGCCTGGAAGGGAAAGGCAACGACAGTGGCAAACTGTTCATCCGTACACATTCCAGTCCATACCTGGATTTTGCAACCGTGCATCTTTGGGTGAGTGCGTCTGATGCCTTTAGACAACTGACATTTGTGAGCTGTCTTATATGAGAGCCTTAACAGGTTGAGAACTGGGGTATCTACCAGTCATACAATGGGAGTAGTGCTAATCTTAATGCAGCCAAGGACTACGCAACTGAGTTTCTGGAAAGGCACGCTGGCTACATGCACCAGCTAAAAATGCCACTCATCCTCGAGGAGTTTGGACTTGCAAGGTAAGCTTGCACGTCATCTTAGCATCAGCAAATGACCTCATTGTTAATTATTTAATGCTGCGTTTCAGAGACGGATGGGAGAAACAGGAGTGGACAACACCAAGCTCCTCAAACAGATACAGTCCAGAAGCAGCAACAACATTCAGAGATGACTACTTCAACCACATCTATGCTGTTGTTCATGCAACAGCGAGGAATTCATTCGCGGGGATTGCACCATGGGCTTGGTCAGGCCAAGGTCGTCCCTCAGACACTGGACCACAGCAACTTGGGGATCCTCCACATGAAACACCTGGATGGTACTCAATATATGACCAGGATGCTGGCACGATCAACATTATCTCCAACTATTCGAAAGGATAGTTTCTGTGGCCTGAGAAAAGCCCTTGGGATCTTTTCAGAGACTAAGTCCCACTTGTACAAGATGCTTGAGTAGTGCAGCGGAAGTGTTGAGCAGTTGAACCCTTGCACTAGTACCGTATTCCCCCGGATAAAACACTCATGGGTGGCACTAAATTGTGATGAAAATTTTAGTGGGGGTGTAATTAGTGGCACTTTTTGTATAACGCCCGGGGGCTATGGAATGACAATTTTATGTCTCTGAACTGGAATTGAACTGCATTGTAGACAGTTCTTTTGTGCCAAATTTTGACGATTCTTGCACGTGATCGCGTGTATGGTGAGGAGGACCATCGTCATGCCACGATGCAGGCAAACAGTCATACCGTATTAGCCCGGATATGAGTATCAGAATGAGAGAAGTGAATGATGCATTAGAGGGAGAGTACAGATGGATATACCAAAGTATTGTACTCTCTAAGAAGTGACCCTATACAGTCTATGCAAACATAACAGATACACATGTTTGACACACCCCCTAGACTGCATAGGGGAATGACCTGAACAAGCAGCTCAGGGCGGCACTACTAGTCCAACCTCTGAGACAAGTGTCTAAAAGACCAGTCAGAAGGAGTTGAAACAAGGCAAGAACAAGGCCAGGGCGGCACTACTAGTCCAGCCACTGGGAGGACACAAGTCCAGTCTGAGTATAAATATAAATGACACTACAAAGTCAAGGCCCTAGCAAGTGAGAGGCTACAGGAACTAGACCAAGCTGAACGCAGTGCCGCTGATGATCTTTAGGCGCAAGCGCCTTCGTAAAGATATCAGCTGTGTTGGCACCTGAGGCCAGGTGTACTACGCGAGCCTGGCGTCGCTGCTGTAGATCGCGCATGAGGAAGTCTCGCAGCTGAATATGCTTCGCTCTGCCCTCGAGTCGAGGCTCCTGACACAGGAGGATCATGGCCCTATTGTCAGCGAACAGGACCGGGGCAGAGCTAGGCCGCTCACCTAAATCAGTGAGCAAGAAGGTCAGCCAGCGGAGCTCCTGTGCCGCCATGGCACCAGCGTAGATCTCAGCCTCACAGCTGGACTGGGCAACAGACGAGGAGCGGGTAGCTCTCCACGAGACGGCACCTGAGCCAAGGCTGAAGCAGTAGCCCTGGGTAGACCTGAGTGTCTTGGCGTCGTCTGCCCACGAAGCGTCTGTGTGTCCAGTGAGGACCACTGGCCCGCGTCCTCCTAGCACTAACCCCATGCCCGATGTACTCGCAAGATAACGCAAAACCCTCTTAGCGGCAGACCAGTGCTGCGGTCGGTGTCTGCCTGTGGCCACAAAGCGAGCCAGGATGCTGAGAGGGTATGCGAGATTAGGGCGAGTGCAAGTCATCAGGTACATGAGGCAACCCACCAGCTCTGCGTAGGGGCCGCTGGGCTCTACCGACTCCTCAGACACTGGAGCGGAGAGTCTGTGGTCTACAGGCAGAGGGGTGGGCTGTGCAGAGGAGAACTGAAGGCCGAACCTCTGAAGGACCTGGCGCACCAAGTGTGACTGAGTCAGGGTGATGGTGCGCGCTGCTCTGTCCCTGGAGATCTGCAAGCCAAGGTAACGGCGCAGTTCTCCAAGGTCAGTGCACGTGTGTCTCTTCAGCAGCTCGGCCTTCACGGAGGCTAGTGCATCCCTGTCTGCTGTGGCAAAGACCAGATCGTGGACGTAAACAAGGATGTAGAACGGAGTCTGGCTAGCACGAACGAAGAGTGAGGGGTCTGCGGAAGACGGGAAGAACTGCAGGTCAGCAAGCGTAGCACGGAGAGTGTCGTGCCACTCACGGGGAGCCTGGCGCAGGCCGTAGACGGGACGCCGCAGGAGCCACTGGGTCCCAGGAGGGAAGGTGCGAGTAAAGCCCTGGGGGCGACGAAAGTAGACCTGCTCGTGTAGGCTGCCCTGAAGGAAGGCCGTGGAGAAGTCGAGGGAGTGAAGCTCGTAGTCACGCTGAGCAGCTAGGTATAACAGAACCCGAAGAGTAGTCATCTTCGCGGTCGGGGCAAAGGTCTGGAAGAAGTCCACCCCCTCACGCTGACTGAAGCCTCTAGCCACGTAGCACACCTTGAACACAGGCGGCTCTCCAGGAGGGCGCTTCACCTTGAAGAGCCAGCGGCCATCGACTACGTTCACCCCAGGCGGGGGAACTGCATCGACGAAGGTGCCGGTGGATCTCCAAGATGCCATCTCCTGCTCTATGGCAGCTATCCACTGAGAGGCCCAAGGTCCCGAGGTCGCCTCAGCGTTAGTGCGAGGGGTCGGGATGTGGAAAGCGTCTGGGTCACCCTCAGGGACTAGCAGCATGGAACAAAGATGGGGAGCAGCCTCGGACAGGAAAGCAAGCTCGAACTGGCGGTCCTCCAGGACGTCACTGCCAAGGGCAGGAGCACCCCCGACAGACGGAGGACAGGCAGGGTCAAAGACCAGAGCGGTGGCGTAGTCAAGGCGGAGGGTAGAGGCGAAGTCAGCGACCGCAGCAACAAGAGCGTCAAGGTACGAGACCGGAACAGACGGGTCGGTAAGGAGAGAGGCAAGGACCCGAGGAACAAGAGGACGAGCGGCACGAAGGTGGTCAGACAGTGGGGGGGGTGCAACAACAAGGGAGGACGGAGGAGGCGACGGGAAAGGGGGAGGACGAGACGCGTGGGAACGAAGCAACATAGGGTGGGAGCGCAAGACAGGCGAGGCAGGACGAGCACGTGAGGGACGGTGAGACCAGACGTGCGACGGAGGAGTCGGGTCAGGAGACAGGGGAGGGGACACAGGAGGGGAACGAGGAGGAAGACGGGCCGGGGACGAGTTCGGCGGAGGGAACACAGGGCCGTAGACGGGAAGAGGAGGAGACGGTCGGAGAGGAACAGCCGCAGGGTCAGGGGACGGAAGGCCGAGCAGGCGAAGGGCTGACACTGGCGGGGACTGCTGCTGCGGCGGAACAACAGCGACACCGGGACTGCAAGCGGCTCCTCAGCTACCACCGGCACACACCACACCAGCACCCCTAGAGGATCCACCCCCAGGGCTACCGGGACTAGCACCCCCAGACGCAACGAACGGGTGCTGCGACGGCGGCGGCGACTGCGGCAGCGACAACGACGGCTGCAGCGGCGGCAGAGGCGGTGGAGGAGGGGATTGGGGAGGGGACGCCGGGGAAGGGGCGGCCGGCGAGGACTGCGAAGCAGGGCCACCAGAGTCAGAGGACTCCTCAACCGGGTCCACCGACGGAAGGGGGGTGACGTGGGACACACCAGAGGGGGCAGGACGGGGAGGAGGAGGGGGAGGGGCAGGGACTACCGGGGAAGGAGTGACCAGGAATAGGGGGGGGTAACCGGGGGACCGCGGTGGGGGAAGCGACGGTAGTAGGAGACGGACTCGTCAAGGGTGGCGTCGCGAGAGTGAAAGAAATGGTGAGACGGCGGGTGGTAAAAGTGCCAGTCGGACGCATCAAGGGGAAAACCGAGGAAGACACAGGGAAGGGTGCGGGCAGTGAGCTTGTCCATGCTGGAGGCACGGACGTGAGCAAGGCAGCCCGAGACGTGGAACGCAGACGCGTCACCAGGAGACCCAGTCCAAAGACGGGTCGGCGAAACCTGCGGCTGGTGAGGGTGCGGCCACAAGTTAAGCTGGTGAGAAGCGTAGCGCACAGCGAACGGCCACAGAAAATGGGGTGCACCGGCATGGATCATGGAGGTGCGAGCCACCTCCATGAACAAACCGATGTGTCGCTCAGCGACCCTATTCTGCTGTGGGGAGTCCGGTAGGGTGAACGTCTGGGTGATGCCCTCCGCACGACAAAAGCGACCAAGGACACCTGAGGCAAACTCTCCACCACGGTCGGAGTGAAGTCGCAAGACAGGGAGACCGCGGTGGACACGCGCAGAGACAAGCCAGGGGATGAGAGCGCTAGGCACGTCGGCCTTGTGCTCCAGGGGAAAAACTGTGGTGTAACGAGTAAAGTCGTCGACAAGCACAAGAAAGTAGCGCTCACGACGCGGCCCAGGGACGGGGGCGGGGCCCCAGACGTCCAGGTGCAGAGTCTGCAGCGGCGCGGCGGTAGGGGGAAACGAGGAGGAGTGAGGGGCACGGCGAAGCCGACCCTCGACACAAGGCGTGCAAGGTGGGGCAGGGGAGGAGGGAAACGCAGGGAGAGAACCTGGGAGACCAAGGACAAGACCGTGCTGGGACATGTGACGCAGACGCGGGAGCGCAGGGTGACCTAGGCGGTGGTGCCAAAGGAGAGTCGGGTGAGTGAGGGACCGACAGGAGCAGGCAGCAGCAACCTGGGTAGACACAGCCACCTGAGGGAGCGCTCCAGCCGGGGGGGCCACGGTGTCCAGAGTGAACAGGCCGGACACCGGGTCCCGGGGGAACGTGGACAGAGGGGCACCTGTGGCAGCCTCGGTACAGACAGCATACCGCTCGTGACCAGGGAACGTAGTGGTGACGCCAAGGTCCTGGAGGCAGCCGACACCAACTAGGTTCCGGGATAACGAGGGGATATGCAGACCTGTGAGAGAGCCCGAGGGAACTGCCGGACAGGGAAGGGTGGTGGAACTGCGGGCGACTACCGGACCGCTGGAGGGGTCAGCAAGAGAAACGGCGGCGGGAACAGGAAGCGGCGTCAGTGTGGTGAAGTCGCGGAAGAAACACCGGGAAGCGCCAGAATCCAAGGTGAAGGAAAGCGAAGCAGAGGCGTCTGGCGACGGAACGACGGCGGAAGCACCAAGACTACACAAAGCAGGGGATCCTACGCCTGACGCAGCAGGGGAGGCTAAGCTAGGCACACCTACACTAGCCGACAATAAGTAATAAGCGGGAAGCATACTAGAGTCATGAGCATACATCACATGCAGAGCAGAAACAATGGCATCCATGTCCATGTCAAAAATCTGAATCTTACGACTAAGCAAACTGTGCCAGTCCGGGAGGTCTGGCGACGGGCCGAAGCGCTGACGAAATAGGTCGTCCAGGCGACGAAAACAGCGGGGAGTGGAGTGACCGATCTTACCGCAAACGAAGCCGCGGCGAGGACCGGTCTGGATCTGGTACTGACAACGCACGCCGCCAGAACCACCACTCGGCACACCAGCACGCGCCCGACCACCGCCAGCTACGAGCCACCCGGGCGGGAGGATACTCGTCTGCCGCGTCTGCGGCGGCTGCTGCGACTGCGGCGGCTGTTGCG